TAGGTAGATAGATCTCATTGAGTAGGTGTGCAGTGCACAAGAACCGTAACTCAGCTTTGCCTAATTTTAAAATTATTGCTCTTTGTTTAAGTTTACACTTTGAAGTTTGTCCGGGACATATCTCTAAAAGTATAAGAGGTATCAACATGAAACTTTGTAGGTAGATAGATCTCATTCAGTAGGTGTGCAGTGTACAAGAACCGTAACTCTGCCTTGCTTAATTTTTGAATTATCCCCCTTTGTTTATTTTACACTTTGAAGTTTGTCCGGGACATAACTCTAAAAGTATTAGAGGTATCAACATGAAACTGTGTAGGTAGATAGAGCTCATTGAGTAGGTGTGCAGTGCACAAGAACCGTAACTCTGCCTTGCCTAATTTTTGAATTATCCCCCTTTGTTTATTTTACACTTTGAAGTTTGTCCGGGACATTACTCTAAAAGTATAAGAGGTATCAAGATGAAACTGTGTAGGTAGATAGAGCTCATTGAGTAGGTGTGCAGTGCACAAGATCCGTAACTCTGCCTTGCCTAATTTTTGAATTATCCCCCTTTGTTTATTTTACACTTTGAAATTTGTTTTGGACATAACTTTGAAACAACAAGGGGTATCAACATGAAACTTTTCAGGTAGATAGATCTCATTGAGTAGGTGTGCAGTGCACAAGAACTGTAACTCTGCCTTGCCTAATTTTTGAATTATCCCCCTTTGTTTATTTTACACTTTGAACTTTGTCCAGGACATAACTCTAAATGCATAAGAGATATCAACATGAAACTTTGTAGGTAGATAGATCACGTTGAGTAAGTTTGCAGTGCACAAGAACTGTAACACTGTCTTGCCTACTTTTGGAGTCATTGCCCTTTGTTCATTTTGACACTTTGAACTTTGTCCGGGACATTACTCTTAAAATATAAGAGATATCAACATGAAACTTTTTAGATAGATAGGTCTCATTGGGTGGAAGTGCAGTGCTTAAGAATCATTACTCTGCCTTGTCTTATTTTGAAGTAATTGCCCTTTGTTTATTTTTACTTTTTGATTTTTGTCCGTGACATAACTTTAAAACTATAAGAGATATCAACATGAAACTTTGTAGGTAGCTAGATATAATTTGATAGAACTGCAATGCTTAAAGAACCTAAACAAAGCCTGGTCTAATTTTGGAGTTATTGCCCTTTGTTCATTTTTACACTTTGAATTTTACGCGGGACATAACTCTGATATCATCAGGCAACTTTATAGATAGATAGATTTTATTGAATAGAAGTGCAGTGCCAAAAAACATAACTCCGCCTTGCCTAATTTTGGAGTTTTTTGCCCTTTGTTCATTTTTTTATACTTTCCTGTGTCCAGAACCTTCTCGGGGAGCATCACCCGGTTCAACCGGTTCTTGTTCGTAACAGTTTTTCTCAGCAACTACTTATCAGAGCCTCATTATATTTAGTATGCAGCATTAACACATTGTCCCATACCATGGGATTCGATTTTAGGTCTGTCGCTCATCCACTTCATGTTTACTGACTTAGTTAAATTCATAATAATGTTCACTGGTACGAATTTTTCCTAACAATTTTCTCATTAGTTAAATTCATAATAATGGTCAATGGTACGAATTTTTCGTAACAATTTTCTCAGCAACTACTTATTACAGCTTTTTGATGTTTGGTATACAGCATTGATATGATTTCAGGTATGTGGCTCATCCACTTTCAGTTTTCTTACCTAGTGAAATTTTCGGCATTTATTGTAAATGGAAGGAAATTTCCATAACAGTTTTCGTAGCAACTTCATACATATCACAGCCTCTTGATATTTGGTATTGTAACTGCAAAGTTCAGGTCTATCGCTTATCCACTTCCTGTTTACCGACTTAGTTAAATGATCAATATTAATGGTCAATGGTAGGAAATTTTTGTAACATCACAGCCTCATGAGTCATGTTATTTGGTATACAAATTGTTATTTGGTATACAAATGCAACCGGGTCATTTTTGTCTTTGACCCATTTTTGTGTCGCCTTGAAAAGGTGACATATAGGGGTTACTTTTGTTGGCGGCGTGTCGGCGTCGGCGTCCCCTAAAGCTTGTCCGGAGCATAACTCAGTCACTATAAGTCTGATTTACTTCAAACTTGGTATGCATGCTTCTTTTAATAACCCGAAGTGCAGTGCACAAGGACCGGTACTCTGCAGCTCTTATTTTTTGAGTTATTGCCCTTTGTTAATTTTCATACTTTAATTTTTTCCGGGCCATTTCTCTTCAACTTTAAAAAGCTATGGACTTGAAACTTCATAGGATGATAGATCTCATTAAGAAGAAATGCAGTGCACAAGAACCAGTACTCTGCACTTCCTAATTTTTGAGTTATTGCCCTTTGTTAATTTTCATACTTTATTTTTGTCCGGGCCATTTCTCCTAATGTATAAAAGCCATGGACTTGAAACTTCATCCGATGATAGGTCTCATTAAGAAGAAGTGCAGTGCACAAGAACTGGTACTCTGCATTTCTTATTTTTTGAGTTATTGCCCTTTGTTTATTTTCATACTTTAATTTTGTCCGGGCCATTTCTCCTTAAGTATAAAAGCTATGGACTTGAAACTTCATAGTATGATAGATCTCATTATTATGAAGTGCAGTGCACAAGAATCGGTACTCTGCATTTCTTAATTTTTGAGTTATGGCCCTTTGTTAATTTTCATACTTAATTTTTGTCCAGGCCATTTCTCCGAAAGAATAAAAGTTATAGACTTGAAACTTCATAGGATGATAGATCTCATTAAAAAGAAGTGCAGTGCATAAGAACTGATACTCTGCATTTCTTATTTTTGAGTTATTGCCCTTTGTTGATTTTCTTACTTTATTTTTGTCCTGGTCATTTCTCCTCAAGTATGAAAGCTATGGACTTGAAACATCACAGAATGATAGATCTTATTGATAAGAAGTGCAGTGCAAGGATATGCTGCTCTGCATGTATAATTTTTTTAGTTATTGCCCTTTGTTATTTTTCATATTTCATTTTTGTCCTGGCCATTTCCCCTAAACTACATTGTTCACAAGGCGACACATCCGACTCGCGGAGTTCTAGTTATTGAAGTATTATCCAAATTTGTACTTTGTCTTGTTAATTATGATGTCATTGTTAAAATTTTCATGATGTAAACACGCTACAGGGAGTGTATTTTTTAGCAACCTGTACTTTAAAGAAAAGAAAAAAAGAGGTATTTCTATACACTTGTTAGCATTCCTGTTGCTGTCGGCCAAAAAAACATTACATTTGACATTAACCTTTAAATGACATTAAAGAATTTTATAAACCTGTTGCTTGCTTTTAAAAAGAAAAATACTTTATAAGATCTATTCCTTAAGGTGAGCGATATAGGGCCATCATGGCCCTCTTGTTAACAAGTACATGTACCTGCTTATTTAAGGTATCATAAAACCAGCATTAAATTCAAGAAATCATATTTTCGCAAATATTTCTGGTTGCAAAAAGTCCACTTTTGCACATTGGCAAAATTTTTGTGACACAAAAATATCAACTTAAACAGTAAATGTCAAAAAATAACTGAGATTGTCATGTTAACACTTCATATTAAAGATATGCTCTATGCTAGCTGTAATCATTTTAAAATACCAAATGCACAAAACTTGGAAATAATTTTTTTTTTGCCTTGGAAATTTTTCTGTTTTTCTTTTTTCAAAAATACTTAGCAGAATCAGATACATTTTGAAGTTTTAATATTTTAGACCTTTATTTTTCTTTCGCTGTATGTGTAGTAAAGATGATTAAACAGCCTATAAACCCTTGCAACCCTTTGAATGTTTGCACACCCTTTTTCTCAAGAATAATGTATGGTTATTATACCCCCAAAAACGAAGTTTGGGGGGGTATATAGGAGTCACCCGGTGGTCGGTTGGTCGGTCGGTCGGGCGGTCGGTCGGTCGGTCGGTCGGTCCAGACGTCCGTTGCATTTTTCTTGTCCGGACCATAACTTGAAGACTAATGGTTGGAATTCAATATAACTACATACAATGGTCAAGCACATTGAGAGGAAGTGCAGTGCACAAGAACCATAACTCTATCTTGACTAATTACAGAGTTATTGCCCTTTGTTACTTTTCCTTGTCCGGGGCATAACTTGAACACTACTGGTTGGAATTCAAAACAACTTCATACAATTGTCAAACACAATAAGGGGAAGTGCAGTGCACAAGAACCATAACTCTATCTAAAGTAATTACAGAGTTATTGCCCTTTGTTACTTTTCCATTGCTTTCTTTTGTCCGGACCATAACTTGAAGACTAATGGTTGGAATTCAATATAACTACATACAATGGTCAAGCACATTGAGAGGAAGTGCAGTGCACAAGAACCATAACTCTATCTTGACTAATTACAGAGTTATTGCCCTTTGTTACTTTTCCTTGTCCGGGGCATAACTTGAAAATTAGTGGTTGGAATTCAAAACAACTTCATACAATGGTCAAGCATAAAAAGAGGAAGTGCAGTGCGCAAGAACTATAACTCCATCTTCAGTATTTATAGAGTTATTGCCCTTTGTTCCTTTTCTTTGTCTTTCTGGACTTATTACAGAGTAATTCAATAAAACTTCATCAATGGCCAACCACATTGAAAGGAAATGCAATATACAAGAACCACAACTATCTTTAATTGCCCACAACCATAACTCTATATTTCAATTTTTTTACAAGATATTCTGTTACTAGTAACATCCTCATTTCCGAAGCAGTCTTGAGGGGGTATTAATCACATTTAGTGATAGTTCTAGTTTGCATTGTTTTGCCTGTTCCGGTCGTCCGTAAAGTCTGATCAGGATCCATGCTGTTCGCTATCAGTTTCTCTACTTGTAATAGGGTTGGTAAGCGAACAGCATGGATCCTGATCAAACTGCACGGATGTGCAGGCTGGTCTGGATCCATGCAGGTCGCAAACGCACTATGTTGGTTTTGTTGTGACACGGCTTATTTAATTTCAGGTCCTGCTCAGTTGGTAGACACACCTGAGGGTTATGTTCCAGAACCACACGAGTACCACAGAGTAAGTTCATTAGTTCCACAGAGTAAGTTAATTAGTACCACAGAGTAAGTTGATTATTACCACAGAGTAATTTAATTATTACCACAGAGTAAGTTAATTAGTACCACTGAGTAAGTTAATTAGTACCACAGAGTAAGTAAATTAGTACCACAGAGTAAGTTAATTATTACCACAGAGTAAGTTAATTAGTACCACAGAGTAAGTTGAATAGTACCACAAAGAAAGTAAATAAGTACCACAGAGTACGTTAATTAGTACCACAGAGTAAGTAAATTAGTACCACAGAGTAAGAAAATTAGTACCACAGAGTAAGTTGATTAGTACCACAGAGTGAGTAAATTAGTACCATAGAGTAAGTAAACTAAGTACCACAGAGTAAGTTAATTATTACCACAGAATAAGTTAATTAGTACCACAGAGTTAGTTGAATAGTACCACAAAGAAAGTAAATAAGTACCAAGAGTACGTTAATTAGTACCACAGAGTAAGTAAATTAGTACCACAGAGTAAGAAAATTCAATGTGGCCATACCATGTGACTTTTCGGGTACGGAACACGCAGATTTTTCACCCGATTCAGGTATGTTTTTTATTCACAACTTATTAATTACTCAACCGATTTTGATCAGATAAGGCACAGAGTACCCGTAATTATATCAGCTATCCACGGTATATAAAAATTCTGAAAACCCCTGAATGGGTTTTGAGAACATTCGAGTACAGTTTTCTTTTCATAGCCTGGGCCGTGGGGAACGGTACACACTCATTTGTCATAACAAGCAATTTCTAGCAAGCCATATGTTTTTTGACACTATTTCATAGAAAAATACATGTTAAATCTGATATAATTATTCACTATGTCCAATGTATCGAGTGAATGCAGTGATGTTTTAGCATATTTTCATAAAGTTATGTTGAAATGGTACGGAACACACTGTTGTTTCAAAAGATACGGTACACACACAATTTCTGTCTTTGTAATAATTCTAAAATAAAATATATCAAAATTTAATTTAAATTATAATGTGAGTGATTTTTTTCATAGTTATACATTTTATTAATTTAAACGAGAACCCAGGGACCTGTTTTGCAATGTATCATTATGCCTACAGTTTGATGTAAACAGGATTATTTTATTTGTTTATTCTGCGCCTTATATGATCAAAATCGGTTGAGTAATAAATAAGTTATGAATAAAAAACATACCTGAATCGGGTGAAAAATCGGCGTGTTCCGTACCTGAAAAGTCACGTGGTATGGCCACATTGAAATTAGTACCACAGTGTAAGTTGATTAGTACCACAGAGTAAGTAAATTTAAGTACCACAGAGTAAGTAAATTAGTACCACAGAGTAAGAAATTTAGTACCAAAGAGTAAATTAATTACTACCACAGAGTAAGTTAATTAGTACCACAGAGTAAGTTGATTATTACCACAGAGTAAGTAAATTAGTACCATAGAAAAAGTTAATTAGTACCACAGAATAAGTAAATTAGTACCACAGAGTAAGAAAATTAGTACCACAGAGTAAATTAATTACTACCACAGAGTAAGTAAATTAGTACCACAGAGTAAGTAAATTAGTACCACAGAGTAAGTTAATTAGTACCACAGAGTAAGAAAATTAGTACCACAGAGTAAATTAATTACTACCACAGAGTAAGTTAATTAGTACCACAGAGTAAGGTAATTAGTACCACAGAGTAAGTAAATTAGTACCACAGAGTAAGAAAATTAGTACCACAGAGTAAATTAATTACTACCACAGAGTATGTTAATTAGTACCACAGAGTAAGTTGATTAGTACCACAGAGTAAGTAAATTAGTACCACAGAGTAAGTTAATTAGTACCACAGAGTAAGTTGATTATTACTACAGAGTAAGTAAATTATTACCACAGAGTAAGTTAAATAGTACACCAGAGTAAATTAATTGCAATGAATGTTTGTTAATATTACTTTACATTTGTATAATTATCTCATGGTGAAAAGACACCTTATCAGGATAGAAGAAGAAAAATGTTGCTCATCAAGTTCCATTGGCCAATTGTTTTTAAAATGGTTTCTATATCATAATTAGTAAAACACAAAGAAATACACAACCTTAATCATGAACCAAAAGGCAAAGATGGTTCATCTATATACCAATTTTGTTACATTTTGAAAACTTTTTAAGATCGCAAAAAAAAAGTTTAAAGCTTTTGTGGAAATTTATGTCATTTAATGGTTCATGTTTAGATACCTCCAACCTGTATTTTTTCACATGAAAATGTTGTTTTGCTTACATAAGAAAGGCCTGGGGCTCTGCACATTTTATTGTTATATAACTTGCTCCTTATTTTACTGAAATTAACAGTGTCTGGAAAAAAAGTAAATTACTTACAATAAAACTGGTGGTCTGGGAAAAATATTTACAAACTCATCGGTTGATAGATCTATTCATTTGAGATTAGACAGACTGTTTTTAGTCTCAATAATAATAATATTACAGTGTTATTTTAGTTTCAATTGTTTAAATAAATAATGATAATGATTACCACCAGTCCTGCTTTGAAGACAACCAAAGATTTCATATATATTATATGTATATGAATTATGTGGCCTATTCCTAGTCCACTTCCTCTTTCATTCATTTGTGTGTTAATTTTAGCTTGACTTTTTTTGACCAAAAAATAGAGGTACAGTAAACTTCAGTTATAGCGAACATGTTATAGCGAACTTCCGGTTATAAGGAACAATTCATTTTGGCCCGAATTTTGCCCTTCTTTATCTAATGAGAAAATATACGGTTATAGTAAACACGGTTATAAGGAATTATCGCTTATAATGAACTCATTTCTTTGTCCTAATTTAGTAAAAAGTACAGAAAATTACACATTTATAACAAACTCCAAAATATCGACTATCTGCAAATAGATCCTGCATTTTCAACTTTCGTTTGCTATGACATGGATTAAAACCCGGCCGAATGTGCCGTTTATTGTTGTATGTATGTACTTCAAGACATCTTTTAAAATGAATATGTAAAGCAGTATATAATAGCTTTCAAGTTTGCCCATGGCTAGAAGGTGACCCCTAATTGTCCCCTCCTTTCCGAAGAAAAAAAGGAGGATATATAATATGCTCTATCTGTCCGTCCGTCACATTTTTATGCCGGGTCCTGTCCATAACTGTCATTTATCAAAGGAATATGAAATAACTTGGTACAAATGTTTGTTATCATAAGGCAATGTGTCATGTGCAACAACCGGATCCTACCTCCAGAGTCAAGGTCGCACTTGCTCATTCAAGGTCAACATTGTCTATTTGAGGGTAAATGTGGTGTCTGGTCCATAACTTTCATTTCCATGAACGTATTTTGATCATTTTTGTGTGGCCTTGAAAAAGGCGACATAAAAGGATTACTTTTGTCGGCGATGTCGTTGTCGGCTTCGTTGTCGTCTACGGCGTCCTTGTCGGCGTCCCCTTAAGCTTGTCCGGATCATAAGTCAGTCATTATTAGTCAGATTGACTTCAAACTTGGTATGCATGCTTCTTACAATGACCCGAAGTGCAGTTCTTAAGAACCGGTACTCTGCACTTCTTATTTTTTGAGTTATTGCCCTTTGTTAATTTTCATACTTTATTTTTGTCCGGGCCATTTCTCCGAAAGCATAAAATCTATGGACTTGAAACTCCATAGGATGATAGATCTCATTAAGAAGAAGTGCAGTCCGCAAGAACTGGTACTCTGTGCTTCTTATTTTTTGAGTTATTGCCCTTTGTTAATTTTCATACTTAATTTTTGTCAGGGCCATTTCTCCTAAAGTATAAAAGCTATGGACATAAAACTTCATAGGATGACAGATCTCATTAAGAAGAAGTGCAGTGCGCAGGAACTGGTACTCTGCGCTTCTTTTATTTTGAGTTATTGCCCTTTGTTAATTTTCATACTTTATTTTTGTCCGGGCCATTTCTCCTAAAGTATAAAATCTAAGGACTTGAAACTTCATAGGATGATAGATCTCATTAAGAAGAAGTGCAGTGTGCAGGAACTGGTACTCTGCGCTTCTTATTTTTTGAGTTATTGCCCTTTGTTAATTTTCATACTTTATTTTTGTCTGGGCCATTTCTCCTTAAGTATAAAAGCTATGGACATGAAACTTCATAGGATGACAGGCCTCATTAAGAAGAAGTGCAGTGCGCAGGAACTGGTACTCTGCGCTTCTTATATTTTGAGTTATTGCCCTTTGTTAATTTTCATACTTTATATTTGTCTGGGCCATTTCTCCTAAAGTATAAAAGCTATGGACATGAAACTTCATAGGATGATAGATCTCATTAAGAAGAAGTGCAGTGCCCAAGAACTGGTACTCTGGATTTCTTATTTTTTGATTTATTGCTCTTTGTTGATTTTCAAATTTCATTTTTGTCCTGGCCATTTCTCCTAAACTATATTGTTCACAAGGCGACACATCAGACTCGCTGAGTTCTAGTTGGCATTAATGTTTACAATATTGAGACAATTGTCTTGTGCAAAAACCAGTCTTCTACCACCAATGTCAAGGTCACAGTCAAAGGTCATAGATTAACATAGTCTGTTACAGGGTATATTTTGTGTCAAGTCCATAACGTCTTCAAAGATCAAGGGATTTTGAAATTATGTTGCACATATGTTCACAATAATAAGACAAGGTGTCATGAGCGAAACCAGTAGTCTACCTCCAAGGTAAAGGTTACAGTAATGTTGTAGGTCAAACCTTAACATGGTCTTTTAAATGGTATATTTTGTGTGCAGTCTATAATTATTTTATTGTTCGATGGATTTGAAATAACTTTGCAAAAATGTTCACAATAATGGGACGGTCATTTGCAACATCCAGACTTCTACCTTCAATGTCAAGGTCACACTAGAGTGCCAAAGCTTAACATTGTCTGTTCTTGGGTATATTTTGTGAGTGGTTCATCAGTCAAGGGATTTTAGAATAATTTTGCACAATTGTTAACAATTATAAGATGACA